TGCATGGTTTGCAGTGAAAAATGCACTTTTTGACCTTCTGCTTCAGGTGTGGGATGAAGTATTCCTGTTGTATCATCCGGATCATGAGTTGTTTCTCAGCATGAAGCAATGTTGTGTGTAGAAAATCTAGGAGAAGAGAGCAAAATATGGAGTTATCGGGTATTATTATAGGATGCCTCTCATTGTAGCTTAGTGCGGCTTATTTAAGGCGTCCATTTACACGCATTATGCCTGCATTGTCGAGAATCGGATTGAGGGTGAGCAGAGGGCTCTTCTTGCTGAGTGACTTCGAGGACTCAAGTAACGATATCGCTTCTCCGTAATGATTTCGTTGCGTTTTTGCTATCAGCTTGTACTTCACTTGATTGAGTTCCTCCTGGGATAATATAAGCACGTTGGAGATGAGTAGCCCTTTGGTATGGTTTATGAAGCGATACATGTACGCAATGACTCTGAGGGCGCGTGGGAAAGAAGAGAATCTTTCGAGTATATCCGTGCTCTCTAGGGTATGAAAAACTTCGAGTCGTCTCTCCTCTGGAGGGTTAATAGTTGAAGCTCTGGTGTTAGACGGCCAGTGTGTGTGGGCCTTGCATAGCCAGGCTGGACCTTTCCACCAGAGAGTGCTTGCGGCAAGATCTTGAGGTTTGCACCCCCGGGTGCCTAAATCGGCAGGGTTGTCGTGACTGGGAACGTGGCGCCAAGGGGCATTATTTACATTTTCCACAATTTGGGAAGTTCTGTTAGCCACATATGTTTTCCACGTATGTGGAGGCTTCTCCATCCAGGCCAGCACGATCGCGGAATCTGTCCAAAGGATTAACTCATGAGAGGGCAGATTGAGTTCGGATCGGATTTGCTTACTCAGTTTTGAGAGTAAAATAGCTCCGCAGAGTTCCAAGCGGGGCAGACTTACGGTCTGAAGGGGTGCAACCTTGCTTTTTGCGGCAAGTAGTGAGGACGCGAACGAGTTTTCGCCGAGTTGGACTCTTATGTAGACGCAGGCATAGAATGCCTTTTCGGAGGCGTCCGAAAATCCATGCAATTCAATGTACTGCTTTGGCGTGAACTGCACCCACCTGGGTATTTTTATGTCTTCTATTGCTGGAAGGCTTTCTCGGAATGAGTCCCATTTTGTTAGAGAGCCTGGTTTTACCGCTTCATCCCACCCGGTCCCTTCCATCCAGAGTTGTTGGAGGAGGATTTTCGCCATGACCATTATTGGCGATAGCCATCCTGCCGGGTCGAACAGTTTCGCTACCGCTGACAGAATTTGTCTCTTAGTTTTTGAGTTCTCAGCAGGAATGGGGTCATAAGAGTAGGAAAAAGTGTCAGTCAGAGCGTTCCATTGTATTCCTAGGGTTTTTGTAGAACTTGCGTCTTGAAACTTTAAGAAATCTACGTCTAACAGAGCAGAATCGGGGACTGATTTAAGTAAGCTGCGGTGATTTGCTGTAATTTTCCGTAAAGGAAATCCTGCTGACCTTAAAGCATCCATCACTTGTGACATCGATTTAAAAGTGGACTGTATATCGTGGCCCCCCGACAGTATGTCGTCTACGTAGGTTTCTCGTAGTAAAATATTATGGGCGAGAGGAAATGAGCTCTTTGAGTCTTCTGCTAACTGATGGAGAGTCCTAATTGCTAAATAAGGGGCGCAGTTAACTCCAAAGGTGACTGTTTTGAGTTTAAAGTCTTGAATCGGCGAGCTTGGGGTTCTTCGAAATAGAATTCGTTGAAAATCTTGGTCTTCTTCGTCAACGAGTATTTGGCGGTACATTTTCTCAATGTCACCGTTAAACACAAACTTATAGAGTCGCCAATTTAATATCACTACCATTAAGTCGTTCTGAAGTACGGGGCCTGTGTGTAGCACATCATTTAAAGAGTGACCAGAATGGGACATTTTGGAGGCATTGAATACAACGCGAACTTTTGTGGTCTTGCTGTCGGGTTTTAAGACAGCATGATGGGGGAGATAAATCGAGAAATACTTTCCTTCTCTAATTATTTCAGTGGCTGAGGAAGGTGTCATATGGTCTAGTGTTACGTACTCCTCTAGCACTTCGTTATATTTGTCGCGCAGTTCGGGTTTTCGTTGCAGCGTACTCTCTACGCTTAAGTACTGCTGCTGTGCTGCCGGACGAGAATGGCCAAGTGCTGTAGTGGTAGGAAATTCTTGCTTGAAAGGCAGTTTTACAACGTACCTTCCATTTTCTTGACGGGTTGTCGTCGCTACATACAGGTTCTCGCAGTATTCATCCTCCTTTGAACGGGGTTGGGTAGGGTATACTTCCTCCTGCTCCCAGAATTTCTTCAATAGCGTATTGAGAGCATCGTTCGAGGGTTCCATGACTTGGGTTGTGAATGACGTCACCTTTTCAGCTATTGGTCCGCTAATTATCCATCCGAATATCGTGTTCTGCGCCAGGAGTGTGCCGTCTGCAACATGATATAGTCCTTGTGTGAGAATTTGGGGAATAACGTCGCTCCCAATGACCATATCGATTCGAGATGGAGTGAAACAATTAGGGTCTGCTAAAGTTAAAGTTGCTAATTCTGGAAGGCTTACGTATGACACCATGAGACTGGGTAGAAAATGGGTCAGGTGGGGTAAAATAATTGCCTGGGTTTGAATTTTTTGCTTTAAGTCCGCAGAACAAAGGGTTAACTCGCAAACATTTTTCGAGTTTTGGACCACTAGCCCTCCCATTCCCGATATTTCATAATGGGTTTCTTTGGTGGGTAAATTTAATATTTTTTGGATCCGAGACGTGACAAAGGTTTTTTGTGAGCCTTGGTCTATCATTGCTCGGATCTGGTGATATTCTCCCGCGAAGTAAATTGGTACCATCGCTGTGGGTAATAGGGTGGTTCCTTTGCTGCACGAGAAGTGAGTTGAAACTTTGTTGACTGCTTTTTTGTGGGTTGGTGGGGTGTGAATGATTCCTGTTGACGTGGAGGGCATGTCGTCTGCTATTTCCACTGTGGTTGTTGCCTGCGTCGTCGATGATTGGGGTTTTGGGTTGGGTTTCGAGTTTTGCTGGTTTGCTTGAAAATGGAGTAATGAGTGATGACGTTGTTGGCAGTATACACAGGTAAATTTGCTCTGACATTGACCTTTTAAGTGTGAACAAGAGAGGCAGTTTTCACAATACTTGTGCTCACGTACGAATTTGAGACGATCAGGTACAGAGAGATTCTTGAATCTAACGCAAAGTTTCATTGCGTGATTGGAGTTGCACAGCTTGCATGAAACTGGTTTCCCGGAATCTACGTGAAAGTTTTGGGTGCGATTTTTATTAATAAATGTGGAGCTGTGACTGCCAGCTCTAGGGTTGAAGGGGGTAAACTGTGGTTTGGGTTTAGTCGGTCGATACGTACCAAGCCGTTCAACCACTTCGTACCTGCAAGTGAGGAATTTGTTCATCTCTGACCATAGTGGCAACTCTTTCCGAGAGCTGAGGGATTGCTCCCACAGGGAAAGTGTCTCACTTGGTAGTTTCGATGAACACAAGTACACAAGAATGGGATCCCAGTCCTTCGTAGAAATTTTTTGTGATGCAAGAGTGGAGAGGCAATTATTAATTGTTGTTTGTAGCCTTTGTAATTGCTCGCCACTTTCTCCGTAAACGGGCTGCAAATTTAGTAGGGTTTTGAGTTGGTTATCTACTAGAATTCTTGGGTTTTCGTAACGTGATTTTAAAGCTTCCCATGCAAGCGCAAAGTTTTCGTCGGTAGGAGGGTATTGTTTTACAATAAGTCCTGCTTGTCCCTTTGTCTTATATCGCAAATGGTACAACTTTTGAGCGGGGGTTAATTTGGGGTGTTTTATATAGACTGCCGTAAACATGTCTCTAAATGCCGGCCAGTCTTCGTAGCCACCGTGGAATACTTCTGTGTCGCACGGTGGTACCTTGAGATAAACCTCGTTGGAGGCAGAAGGGTTTGGGGTAAAAGTCGTGTTGAATGTTTGCTGGGTAGCTTGAGGGGTCGTATTAACTCTAAAAAGTTGTAACGCTTCCAACATTTGGGACTTGCAGGTTTGGTAGCTCTCCGAGCATTTGCAGTATTTTTGTTCTACCGAGCCACTGACTTCTGGGTGATCATCGTCCATGAATATTGCTTCGTAAGCTTTTAAAAGGCTATCCCAGTTGCTGTCCAGTTGTTGGATTTTGACCTCAAGTAAGGTTTCGGTTTGATCAGTGGCTAAGGACGGTGACCATTTTGAACAAAAAATCTCCAGCCTATTGCTTTCGAAAATAAATTTTTGGAGAAAGTTATTTTTTTTGGTTTTTTCAGTAGGGGTATCTTTATCTTGCGGCATTTTGTTGGGCGAAATTTTATTAAATGGGTAGAGTGAGTTTATAATTTAAACCGAAATATTTTAGGGGGTGGGTATGAGTAGATATTCTACGGTTTAAAAAACGGTGACTTAATTTTAAATTCGCTTTCTTTTTGGGGTTGGGTTTTGTTGTAAAAATCGTTCAGTTTTGTACTACTGTACTCCAGTGAGATATTTTGTCAGCTCCGGCCCACTGTGCCACTAAGCTCCGCCTTTTTGTTTATATTATTTAAAATTGAGTGTAATTAATATTGAGTGTATGCGTATATTAGAGTGTGAGCAAGTTGCGGGTACACTCAATATGAAAAGACGGCTGGATTAAAGGGTCAGAAACATGTACATATGGTGTGAGTTAAATATGCGAATTAGGATATAACAATGAGTGGGAGATTAGCGTATGCGATTATATACAGCTACAACGCGGTACAGTCGCGCTCGACTATTCTTTCGCTATTTTATTTCGAGCCGTCGTAGCTATGTACTAGTATGTCTGTATATACTAGGTTCACTATACGTAATTGTAATTATGGTCAAGAGTATAGTTTTTTTTTTTTTTTATAAATATATATATTGGCCTTAATCCGCTTCTTTGCGTTTTATTTTATTTATTGGGTGATGTGGGTGTTAATTTTGGGTTGAATTACTTGATTTTCGTACCACTGTACTATAGTGCAATTTATGGTCAGCAGCGGCCCACTCTACAAATAAGCTCCGCCCTTTTTATTTTATTTGAATATTGAGTGTAATTGATATTGCGCTTAAGAGTCAGTACGCACATGAGCTAGTTACAGGGGCACTGATATAGAGCGAGAATAGAGAAGATAGGCAATTATGAGAATATGTTTGCTAACGCTGCGAATTTGCTAGCTTCAGAACAATGAGTCAAACGTCCTCAGAAACAGTGAGTGGGAGTTGTATGCATGTACATATGTATGTACACATGAAAAACAGTTGCGCTCAACTATTATTCGCTGGTTTTGGTTACCGCCTGATATATTTGCCTACATACATATGTAAATTAAAATATCTATATGTAAGTAACTATGTACAAATTTATGTCGTGAATATAAGAATCTGCTGTAATTTCGGCAGAGCTGGGTGCAAATAACAGGACTTTTACTGTACGACTTTAGCAAAGTCAAAGATGCTAGCTAATTTGCTGTTACTATGTGCATACATACATATGTACATATAAACATATATATACCTATATGTATATGCATAGGTTTTAAATTCAACAAGGCGCAACTGGAATTTTCGAGATTAACGGGGTGTTTGAAAAAACTTGTCTTCTTTCGAAGTAACGGGGGTTGGAAAACTAGGTCTCCTTTTCTTTTGAATAATTACCGGGCTACCGCAATATATTTATATACATATACACATGAAATATACGGACTTACTCAGCCATGGGTGTTTTTACTTAGCCGGTCGTATTAATTTTCCGTTCCGCCTCTTCGGGTAGGGGTTATGTCCGGTTTGTAGTGAAATTGTTGGTAGTGCTGGGGTCGCACCGCTTACGCCTTTGATGCTCCAGTAGGGCGTTTGCACCGCTTCTCCGTTAAGTGCAGGTATACTGCTGGCGGTCGCAACGCTTGAAAATGTGTTGTTGTTGCAGGTCTGCTGCTCGCAACGTCTAAAATTTTGTTGCTGTTGCAGGTATGCTGCTCGCAACGATTAAAATTTGTTGCTGTTGCAGGTATGCTGCTCGCAACGCTTAAAAAATTTGTTGCTCACAATCTCACAATTGTATCGTTTTAAATTTTGTAGTTTTAATTTGCACAATTGTCAAACTTTTTCTCTTTTCCACAAGAGCACTATTTGATTCTAAATCTTTGTCGTTTTCGTTTAATTGTTTTAATTTACCAACTTTTGAAAAATAATTTTTTATTTTGGTTTTTTGTAATTTCACCACTGTTTAATATGCCTTGGTACCGCAAGTAAATATGTTGTTGCTGCAGGTATGCTGCTCGCGACTTTTAAAATATTGTTTTTAACAAAATTGGTGCTCGTCTTTAATTTTGTTTTTTGTGTCGTTTGTTTTTTTTTTTTTTTTTTTTTTTCCCCGTTTTTTTTTTTTTTTTTTCGCTCACTGACCTTTCTTACCGTCCGCGCTTTGTGG